AAGTGATGTTCTCACCAACCTGGTGCTGAGACCCAAATGTCTGAGTCCCTGTGGATCACTCTGCCCTGTCTGCAGTGCTCAGAGTCGAATAACATCTCCCTGAAGGCGACGGTTGAAAATTTTCCCCAGTTTCTGGCAGTTTTTTTTTTCCTGCCAACTGATCATATGTGTGCAAAAGAGGGAGAGACAGAGAGAGACGCAGAAGAGTGGCTGAAAAAAACAGCTCTTTCTCCTTAGAAAACTGTTCTGTGCTGGCATGAGTACTGCCTCCGGGAAAAGTCACATCGCTAATGCTAATGATGTGTCATTCCCGCGACCTTGCTATCAGCACTCAGGCTAAGGAGCCATCCAGACCACCACATGCGGCCGAGCTCCGGCACGCTAATATCGGCGTGACTCGCGGAAACTCGCAGGCCAGCGTCCAGGTTAAGAAATTGCACCGGTTAACGTTGCGGAGTTTTTAATCTCGAGAAAATCCCCTCTTCAGCATTAACCAGGGCACTGAATTAACAGTCAAAGCGACAGTGGTAAACAAGCGTGCATGTGTTGCCATGGAAGCGCTCTGACGCTGATCTTGTGCTCCCGCCGGAAACCTTGCAAGGTCAACGTAGATTTTAACTCGTCGTAAAGAGTTACATTTTCTCCACGCAACTGTTGGGGATGCCGTCGGGCTACTGGGGATCCAACAAAGCTCGCTATTTCTGTAGTGGGAATGGCGAGAAATCCTGTGGCCATATTGTCACTTGCAATACGGGTTATTCCCAAAAATAAGACTGAACAAATATCCAGTAATAACTCTTTCAGTTGAGCGTAGCAACTGGTGGGCAGCAAATGACTCAAATGCAAAACTATTATGGTTTATATGCTCACATGCACGTTCATAAGAACAGATATTAACATAATCCCCTTACTCATATAAATCTTATAAATAAAAGCTATTGCTTTGGCTCAGTTCCCTGATGAGCAATAAAAAGAATAATAGGAATGTCTTCATCGGTCCCTTTCGGCTCTTTGATGTCAAAGGCTTCGCCGCTTGGGTGATGTGCATTAAAAATACAAAGAAATTCAATATACCATAAAACTGAAAACCCAATTTGCTTCCACCTGGGATCTTTCCACGTAAAAGAAAATGGCAGGTTTAATATCCCGTTTGCCATCAAAGGAACCAGCTTCCGATTGGCCTCCTGTGACTGGAAATCTACGCAAATGTCTGATTTAAACAGAGGGCCATAGGGCGATGAGGAGGACTGAAACCTTTGTACAGCGACATCAAAAGTGCCTCCTTGTTTGAAGAATCGCCACGGCGGGCGAGGTTTCCGCTGGGGGCTGCTCTGGTCAGCTAAACCGACAGGCTTGGGCGGGGCGAGGCGGGGCGGGGCAGGGGGGGGGCATGAACCTTCACACCAAAGTCAGGACAAACATCCAGATCTGGGTGTCTGGGTTCCCGCGTGAAAATTACAGCAAAGCTACAGTGTGCAGATATCAGCCAAATTCTATTTGTTTTTATCTATCCATTCTACTTTAATCTGTGTTTTAGCCTGTTACAGAGCCCAGTAAATATGCCAGAATGGTAAAATCACAGTACTGTGCAAAAGTGTCAGGCAGGCAAAGGAAAAATTTTAAACTGTTTATGTGTACAGTAAAAATATACGCGCTCAGAACAAAAAAAAACACAACTTAATATAAGAACATATGCAAATTATGAGTAACGCAATAAAATTAACAAGGATTTCTTCAATTCTCCAAAGAATAACAGATATCTTGTTGGATGGGTAGATGAACGCCGCTTCAGTTCCCAATCCTCTCCTCAGGGGCACCCCAGCCGTTCCATGAATCTGATACATTTCACAACCAGCTCACTCAATGCATTAATTAGTTTAAAAAGTCAGTGAGGTATTGATGAGCCCTATGCAGTCAGGATGGGTTCGACTTTCCATTTTCAGGGGGATGCAGGAAATTTCGAACTTGTCATTTTACTACCTGGCTATGTGTCTGACCAGGAGTAAATCGATTTCTGGGGGCCTGTGTGCCTATGTTTCGAAATGGCTAAGCTGACACACTCTGACACGCATAAATGTCATAGTTTTACACCAACATGGAGATCATTTAAACATTATTTCCTTTGATTCCTTTCACAGTACTGGATGAGACAGTCAGTCTCAAATCAAACAAAAAAATAAATAAGGTACAAGTAGTTTGATTGAGAACAACAAAATGTAAAAAAACAAGCTTAACATTGAATTAATTGTACATGATTATAGTTAGTGTCTATTTACTGATACAGCGGGAAAACATACAAGCTGCCCCTTAATAAAGTATTTTGCAATTTTGTTGCTTTGCTTAAGGGCAGAACATGAAGTGCTTGGGGCGACAGACTGATAGGATCCTCCTCCTAATGTCTGGGCAGACTGGGGAGGGGGGGTGGGCTGGTTCAGGGTGTCCTCACCTTGTTCTTCCAGGCTATCGGTCACAGATCCAGTACCAGCCCTGTGTGTGAGGACCTTGCATGCTCTCACCTTGACTGTGTGGGATTTTCTCACGTTCTCCCATAATCCACAGACACATGGGTCCGGTAAACTGGTTTCTCTAAATCAGTCTGGTTTCTCAATCTGGTCCACTGGGACCACTGGTAGTCCATGTTTTTGCTCCCTCCCAGCAAAAATGTCCCTGTCTGGCAGGGAGGGAGCAACAACGAGGAGGGTCTGGGGTCCCTGAGCACTGGGTTGAGAAACACTGTTCCAAATAGCCTCCCTATATATCTGTGTAATGGGCCTGCCATTGATTGGCTGTCCTACCCTCCATGGTCTCTGTCTTGCATCCAAAGATTTCCGTCATAGAAACCAAAACAGGACAACAAATTTTTCGAAAGGATGGATGCTTATGGTAATGTTGAATCGCCACATTTTGAATTAAAGCAAATATGAAAACCAGAAACAAAGCTGAAAGAATATCCTATCATTTCATTAGGATGTATCCTTCACGATATTTCGGTGAAAAATAAAAAAAACACACATAGCTATTGTAAATCTCATAAAGTTTTGCTGTGATGTCAATGGTGGTGATAACAACTCCAGCTAGTTCCAGGAATTTAATCTTTAAAACATGCAGAGTAGGCTGGGGATTCTTGGTTTTGGAAGGATAACTGGCTTGAAGCGGTTTGGTGAGAAAGGCCTGTAATTTCACCACAAAATACGCAACACACAACAATGGCCTGCGAAGCTTCTCTAAACAAAGCTGATCCGCGATGTACGGAATCAGCCACGGTTAATGTTAATTTGAACGGATTAGAGGAGTCTGTCAATACACTTTTGGGTCAAAAACAGAAATTTTCCTCCATCCGCCTTGGAAGGATTTAAGGCCCCACTGCTGAAATCTGTGATCAGATGGCAAAACGTGAGCAATTTCTGTACCTGGCAGAGATGTAGAGTAAAGGGAGTGACGCTTTTTCCAGTTTCTCTTTGCCCTTGTCTGTTTTGTCAATCCGGCACATTTTCACAACTTCAACTGGCTAACTTTTCTTATACAAGCTCTCACAATCCCACATTCCTCTCCGGGGTGATGATACTCCCCACAACCCAGAAGGTGCGAAGCCTCACTGCCCCCCCACTGAGTCTCTGTGCCCTTTAATTCAAAAACATGCTCTTCTGAAATACTCATCTGAAAATTAATAACCACTAGTTTTCATAGGATTTAACCATTTACAGGACTATTACTGGGCTATGCCTACTGACCTTTTTTTCCTTGTAGATTTCGCATAAATTTTCTGATTAAATGCTATTCTCGGGGAAATGGTGAGAGATGACTGTTACTGTAGGAAAAATAATTTAGTCTGAAAATAAAATAGCGCTGTAACTATTTCTGAAGCTTAATGTAGTGTGCTTGGTCTTTAAAGACACGCCAGGATGAGTGAATCTCTGACTCATCGCGGTGTGGGTTGCCTGATTCGGCTTGAAAAGCTCGATCCAAATTTTCCTCTGGATAGGTACAGAAGCATCCCCTTTCTGAAATTCTAAGCATAAAAGTATAAGTGTGAAAAAGTACATCTTCGTCTGGATAAAACAGCGAACGGTCCCACACTGACACGGTCAAATCCCTCGAGACACATGGCCGTCCGCGTATGGTGTGAGACGGGCCTTCAGCCGTGTCGTCATGAAGGCAGAACAAGCCGTCAGTTGGTGAGCCGTCACGGATGTGGGTACATCACATGACTCAAAGCCAGGAAGGGTGACATGGACCTGTGCTTTTATGGAGCAGATGTCAGCAGGGCTGGGTCAAGCTATTTAGCCCCAGTTATTGTGTCTGTCCTCTGCTCCCAAGGGAACCTTCATCATGAATCTTCATCATCATAGGCAGGAGTCTGAATCACCTTCTCCCAACGTGCCCACAAAAAAGTAATTACAAGCTAGAAACTTACAGCGAAGCCCATTAATTCTGAAACATTCTTATACATTTTCCCGGAATAACCAAGTTTTAAATGTGTATGGGAGACTTTGGGGATGTGGTCTGTCTAGCTCAGGAGGGTAGTGAGGAAAAATCTAATGAACTTTACCCCATGAGTATTTGCCGTGTATTTTCTGTCTTATGCATCATCTGACAAATAACGTGAAAATGGAAGTAAACAGAGTTTAAAATTCTGTTATTTTTCACAGATCATGCTACTTGGCATTGCTTACATCAAAGCAGATTCTCGGGCATCCAGACAGACAGACAGACAGACAGTGGGGCACCTCTATTGATTTAATTTCTATTGATTGTTTCCCATTTAATCTTAAATGGGAAATAACAACAATGTGAAACTGATAATAACTAACGACAGCGACTGATGTTTTGGGCACTGTCATTATTTTGTGTCGCTAATAGGATCTGTGATCCAATCTGCGTGTAAAAGTCCCTGAGCAATGCAATGCAAACCTGCTGCTTCTAATGACGGCTGAAAGAGCGTGTGACTCTGGGAAGAGGGTGCGGGGGGGGGGGTCACCCAGGCCGGGCTGCCGCATTACCTTCCGCAGCAGGAAGCAGATCCTCTCGATGTTGCGGAGCCTCTCTCGCTGCAGGGGTGAGGCAGTGAAAAATAGTGAAGGGTCAAGGCCCCGAAGCTATAAAAGTCACAAGCAGAACCTTCCCCAGGAACCCAATAACCTCATCTGGTCCAGCACGGCCAGTGGCAGAGTATCTCAGGCTACCTACTCGGGCTGGGAGCAAACATTACGAAGCCGCCTGCATTCCTCAGATGTCGCTTTACCCATTTCCAGTATTTTCGCACTGTAGTAAATTTTGAGGTGAGAGCAAGGAAGTGGGGAGGTGAAAATAAACACCATGTATCACACAGTATGGTGATTTTTGGGGGGGGGGCAAGATAGACACTGATGGGTCTCCCATAATTATACCTCAGCAGATCTGAGATATATATATATATATCTCACTTTTTGCTCAGAACATTCCTCTATCAATTGAACACTTTTTTTTGAGAATTTCACCCTAATCCACTATAATTCATTCAGTATCAAACATTCAGCTATAGAGTCCTCTGGCAGGTTATCAACATATTATCTTTGATGAGAACAGAAAAGCGATGATCAAACAGACCCTGAGTAATATAAAAGTAGGCAGATGTGCAGCCCAGGAAAGTTACTACAGAAGGTCTGCACTAGGATGCTGTTGCAAATTGTTAGAAGGAAACTCATTCACTGATATTCATGAGACTGAAGACTAAAGAACATTTAAATATACTCTACAGTTCACCATGTCATTATGGATATAATATCCCTTTTATAATCCCAGTGTTGTGGGTTAGGGTTCTGCTCCCCAAATCTGTATGTGTTGACATGATCTTTCCATGTTGGGTTTTCAAAGACATGTGAGTTTGGTGAATTTACTGTCTATCAACTGACCATAATCTGTGGCTCTGTGTAAGGACGTAATGGACTGGAACCCCGTCCAGGGTCTTCCCTGCCTCCTGCCCCGTCTGACCTTGTACTGCATAAGTGGTTGTATAAAACATTCTGTATCTAGGTTTGCGCATAATATTTTAATGGCTAATTTCATTCCGCATATGTCTATAATTCTGGGAAATTCACTGGCACAATTCCTGGACCCGTCTGACTGTCAGCACACAGCAGCAAAATAATATCAACAAATTCCCAGTCCAGAGCAGAACATGCGTCAATGAAATAAGTGCTGACCTACATCAGGTTCTCTCATAAAGGGAAAGCTGGCAATGATTCCAGCTGATTCAGGAGGAAAAAGGCTTGATAGGCATAATAATAAAACGAGTGGACAGAGGTGGGCTGAAAAGAGAACTTCATTCAGCACTGGGGGAACCTTGGTCAGAATGGGAGACTTCCCCACACTGAATGGTACAATGAGCTGGGATCCAGTATGGAGACCTGGATGTCAGCCCAGAGCGGGTCATCAAAGCACCAGGTCTGTCCGGCCAGGATTTATGTGGTGGCGACACAGTGGGTCTGGACTGTAAACCTGGTACCGGTTTAGCCTATAGCTACGTTTGGTAGGATTTTCTAAGGTACCTTAAATTTACATCGCTTGTACATTGCTTTTGGGTCTATGTGTGTACGTGAATTGGACCCGCACCCATGCACGAATGTCTATTGGTCTTAAGACAAAAATCAGAGATTAGTATGAAGAATTACAACTAAAAGCCGGCTGAGATCTGATGCACTGTTTGCGATTTGCAGCAAATAGTTGCCTAGTCGTTCTGATACGTATAATCCCTAGAACGGAAAGCCAGCTGGCTCAGCCTAATACGTTATCAATGTTATTGCTATTGTTCTATTGTCTCACAATAGACAAAACAAAAACAGCATAAAAGCATTTATGACGTGTCTGACATTTCATGTGAAATCAATCAAAACCACTAAATCTGCTCTTTAGGTAAAAAAAAATAATCATCTTCTGAGTCACATTGTACAATTTAAGATAAAGTTTGTTTTACTAGTTTGCAATTATGTGCATTTTAATTTTCACAGGTGTCCGGTTTTCCTCCCTGTAGAAACATCAACAGCTTTTGAAAGTTTGAAGGACACAGATGGGTGTCCCCGGTGGTGCTTTGTCCACCCAAAACACAGGGGGCGCCAAAGGGCATTGAGTCAAGTGTAACTAATTAAAGAATATCTAAAAAATGTCCCAAATGGAGCAAGATGTCAGCAGGCTGCAGCTTTTTAACACAGACCTGCTGTATGTTATACTGCATGTAAGATAACAAACAATATTTTTTATAGATTTAAAAGTATTTAGATATAGGTTTTAATGATTCTGGGTCATACAACTTATGTTCCTTTTTCATGGTGAAGCTGGAGATATTTCAGACCGGTACTGGTACTGGGTCTGTGTCTAACGGCAGAACAAGAGCTGCTGCTTCCTTGTGGGTAGTTTGCCGCTTTAGCCCTGCGGAGGTAAAGGAAACGTGTGGTAGCAGAGAGGACAAGGTGAACCCAGGGCCATTTTAACATGGGCGAGCGTGTGCTGAGACCATCCAGGCAGCCGTCGGGAAAAATATCACTCATGCAACCTGACTGTGACTCTACACTTTGGGAGATGATTCACAGCTCTTACACTGGTGAGTATGTGACAGTATGTGTAACATATATAGATTAATTCTTAATGAAGCCCAAAGCCCTTTGTAATTCATTAGCCTAATTTTTATGCACTAAATTTTTTTATTCGCTGATGTTTATGGTGGCTTCTCTGATGCGAAATGGAAATAACAGAAATAGGTAGCAAATGACAGCGGTGACTTAGGGAAAGGGACCCAGGAAGAAAGTTTCTCTGACGAACAATCAGGGATTTGAAGGTTTTAAGTTGAAGAAAAAAAAATCTCTAGCTTTCCACAACAAATAAGAAACAATATACATATTCACTGTTATGGACACTGGCAGATCGCAGGCACTTCCCAGGACTTTTCAGGGGCCATTGAATACATAAAATTACAAGATTATATAACATAAAGGGGGAGGGGGGGGGGGGCAAAGGGAAGATCCATATCATCAGGGGGCCTAGAATGTCTAGCTGTGTCAGCCAGCACAGAATCCTGTCATTGACGTCTACATGAAATCCACAGGAAACTGGAAACAATCAGCCCCCCTGTACCCTAAAAGGGAAGGTCTCTCTCTTTAAACCTGATTCATCTATTCCGTCTATTAATCTGTGCTCCGAGCGAAAATACAGTCCGCTGCTACGAATGATTGCAGCCATTCTCGAACATTTGGGGGAATCTCACCTGGTAAGCGAGACAGCTAAAGCTGCCCCCCCCCACCCCAACCGCAATTTGGACATGTTCTGAACATCTGCTTAATCCAATCAACACAGAGGGCTCAGCATTTGTCATACGCACCGCATGAAGTGGATTTCCTTGATCAATGGGACACTTAAAATCTTCCTGGAGCTCATCAAAGGCTGTTATCTGAAAAGGAAAATACAGGAGAGGACTAAGTCACTTTTTTGTGCTTGTGAGTCCCTAACTGCTCAGAGAATTAAGGCATCAAATCAGCTGCTTTTGGATAAATCTGAAATTGAAAATTGCACCATTATTAGCAACAAGATAGTATTACACTAGGGCGAGTAAACATTGAGAAAACCGCATTTTTGTTTTGTTATCATTAAAATCAGACAAAAGATTTTTAGATTTTTAGATGAGAGAAAACATAACATAGTATCAGACAACGGTGAGGCAGAACTACCTCTGTTCAGGTTTAGCTGAGATTGGCTGTGTCTGACAGTGTATGACTGCAGCTGCCAATCTCAGGAGCCACGTATGAAATCCGCAAGCAGAAATAAAAAGAACTGGCAGTTTGCAAACATTTAAATTACAGATACAACCTGTAAATCAAATAACCTGATTATCACTGGGTGCTCTTCCACCGCACCAGGTACCACACTTTTGGTACTTCCCCTTTCCAATTGACTTCAGGTCAATACCAGTACCAAGAGTTCCAGCACCCAAAGTCAATCCCCATCACTGTAACATGGATCTGTTCACCAAAACTATTCTCACGCTGAGTTGTGGCATTTTTATCTCCACACATTTCAAATCCAGTGTTTATAATGTAACTAGTGCTGCTTACTAAATGCCGCTTAATATGTCTGCAGGCTCTGTGCTTTGCTAAGTTATTTGATAAGCTACTGTGAGCTTGTGGGGGGCAGAAAAATGGAAATAGCTGGGTTTAGATGGACTGTCGAAGCTGTTATCGTCGACATGACTGATCACAAGCTCCTGTCAACAGAAGCTCCAGTTAATGGAGCCCAGCTGGCCCTGTTGCACTAATTACATTGTTACGGATAAATGGGGCCAACACAGTGATCTGGGATCATCATGGCTCTATTGGTATATAAGTAGGTAAGTAAGTAGTTAAATTAATAAAACTATTAGAAGTAAGAGAACATAACATCTTTTACAAAATTTTCATCTAAAAACTAAAATTGATGACAAAAATTCCATGCCCATGGACTAGTAAATACAAATAATCACAACAAAATATTTTTTTCCCTCCATACAGAAACCAAATCTACGTTTCTGTCAGCTTCTCCTGTCGAGTCAGTGTCACCCCCTTCATCCTCATCCTTAGAACTGAAGACGCTTCCTCCATTCGACCTGCCATTATCTGCCCAGATTGCATGTGGCATGGCTGCGTTTGATGTCATCCCAAACGCCCTCACGGCCCACTGGCAGCAACAGCTGCTGTACATGCTGCATGTATGGCTTCCAATAAGCTTCAGCTGCAGGCTCATTAAAAGCTCGTGTTACACTGAGAAACACATTAATGACTTAGAGTTTTTAATTCTAATAAAGTAGGACCATGAGCAGAGCATGATGGTTTTCATTTCAGAACAAACTGGTGCGTGTCGAACATCGAATCTACAAACCTTGCTTGTTCCGCAGTGAATGAGAACTGAGGAAATTGCTGTCCTTCTCAATGGAACACTTCCTGCGGCCTTCCGAAATTGAACTTGCATGCTATCCCTGTCCTGCTTGTGGGGTGAGACTCTTCCAGTTCATGACAGATATCTGTGGGTGGGGTTTTTATGTCTAGAAGGTTGTTCCTTCAAATCTTGCCCGGCACAGTAATCGTATCACTTGTACGCCAACCCTGCTGCTTTGGACAAAAGCATTTCCATCATATACATAAAATAAACATCGTAAAATCTGTGCCTGGCTTTGCACTGCAGGAAAGCTATAAAAAATAAAATATGAACTAATAAATTATTAAGACAGGCATGTAGCCTAATTTTTTTTACCTCTCAAATGCTTCTTCATTTTGAGATACGTCAGCAAATGATAGAATACAGAAGTGATTGGATTTACAAACACTTTTATCCAAAGCAAGGTAAAATTCATAAAGCAGGTGTTGTGGTCCTTAATGGAGGTTGTGTAGTTGTGTAGCAGTAGTAGAGCGTTTTTCATGTGTTTCAGTAGTTTTAGTGGTTTAGGATGGTTCTTATTTTTGATTGTATAGCACTTTGGCAGCAACTTGGTTGTTTAAATGTGTCTATAAATAAAGTTGGATTGGATTGGATTATATTAACAGGCTAGATTGTATTTATTTTTGACATTCATTCTATGTGCTCAATCATTTAGCATTTGCTCAGTGTTATAATGCTGGTGAAGACAGGGAAGCACTAGGGTTTTAATGGCATTGGGGTATGGAGATCCAGAGCAGGCGGCTATAGGACATGGGAGATGAGACGGTTTTAATGAATGTACCCGCGATTGCACCATGGTAAGGGGAACTAGCTGATTGTGAGAAACTCACAGGAAAAGAACAATTGTGACTACTGTAACATCGCGATGTGGTATGTAAAGACTCATCGGCTGGTGTTGGTTGGACACTGAGCTCACAGCTGAGAAGCAGGAACCAATCAGAATGCGCACGTTGGAGGGTATTCTGTTGAGGGTGTGTCAGGCTGACCAATGAAATGTGATTTCCTGATTAATCAGACATAATCAAATAACTATAAGGATAACGCTGAATCATGTCGGAGTGAGACGCTAATCTCAGGATCAATCAAAGAAATGATATTTTATTAATGCTCTGGGTTTCTTTTTCTTCTCTTCTGTTAGTGATTTTCTGCAGTTCAGGTATTTTTTAACGTCCACGGAAATCTGGGGGATCACAGGCCTGCTGCTCGGGGGATGGGAGCGGACCTCGATTTGAATGTGGGGAAGACCCTCGGAACCTTGAGATGCTTTTCGGAAAATCCTCTCTATCTGGCTGATACTGGGAAATTAATTACATTTGGTTCTTGGCTTCATTTTTCTGACTTTGAACGTATTTTGAAAGCATGAAAAATATGAAAATAATGTCTCGCCATTAGCTCAAAAATGCCGCACGTAGAATATTTTAAATCTTATTTATAAAAGTAATCGCCCCCAAGTCAATACTTTGCACATGGGCAATTATGGTTCTGAGTCTGGATTTTTAAGTTGAAGAACATGTATTTTTGAGATTTCTTAAAAGTTCCAGGTTAATTTGCTTAAACTCGAATTGCTAAAAATTGGTTAAAATTAGGGTAGTTTTAGTGAACAGCGATGTTCAGATCACACCAAAGATTTACAATGGGATTAAAGTCCAAGATTTTATCTTGGCAATTCCAGAATGCCAACTTTCTATTTTGTGGACCATTGCTTTGAAGTGTTTGCCATGTATTTGTTGGAATATGGATCTTCACCCAAAACACAGATCTATTGCCAGCTGAAAGTTTTCCTCCCGGATCTGCTTGAATTGTGTTGCCATCTATATTGCTCTTGAGGGCACCAATGAACTTCTGCTGAAAAGCAACTGCTCATAACACAAGGCTACCTCACCGTATTTAACAGTAGGGATTGTGCTACTCGCACAATGGGCCGTGTTTGCTGTGAGCTCAACAATTTTTGGGACATGTGGTTTCAACAGATGGCATTGAGATTGAATCCAGCAGAGTGTCGGCTGTACTGCCTCTGCCAAAGTCCCATCCACTGAAAGATGTAGAGGTTCCCAGGCAGAGCTGGGTGGTAGCTCACACCATTGAACACCATGAAGAAGAGAGGCTTTCCATGGGTTTGGACTTGGAGTGCCAGTTGACCTTTGAGGACATGAAGGAGGTACTCTCCAACGTTCCTGCTCTTCTTACTCTTGACTTCCAGCAGCCATTCAAAGTTCAGACTAATGTCAGGAATACTGCCCTTCCGGCAGGGTCTACCCAGGAGGATCAGGGGCACGAATGGTCTATTGCCTATGCCTCTAGATCACTGAACAAAGCAGAAGAGAATTATTCAGTTTCAGAGCATGATTATTTAGGCTATGGAAAATTGCAGGCCACTGTTAGACGAGAAGAAATCTGAAGTGGTCACAGATCACTCTGCTCTTGCTAGGGGTGCTTACCCATCCGAAGCTGTGGAAAGATGGCCTATTAGGCTATTAAATTTGACTTCTATGTTTCGAACAGGAAGGCTCAATGCAATGCAATCCCAGATGTTCTTTCACTGTGGGAGATCGAACCTCAGCATTGTTTGTGCTGTTTGCCAAGTGCCTAGCAAGCGCAAGTATTCACTACCAGCTAGCTGATGGTACATACACAGTTTCCAGAAAAGTGATGCGGAGGTCCAGACCACAGTGAAAGGCATACAAGTTGAATGTTAAAGACAGGGCTGTACCCATTATGTGGTTAAGTTAAAGACCACAAGTTCGGGGGTGAAGGAGACATAGGCAAACCAATCAAATCACTTTATAGCATCCGTCTGTGGTTTCCTTGCTGATTGGCCCCTCCCCTCCTTTAGCTGAATAGCCAGTTTTTTTTCACTGATTGGGGAACTCCTGATCACAATGGCCAAGGAAGTAGTAGATTCAAACTGTGATATTCATTCATATGCTGGTGACATACAAATATTCCTTTCAATAACACCTAAAAAAACTCTGAACATAGTCCACAAAACAAGTTGCTTCACTGAAATAAAAAAGTGAAAATGAACTGTCTCTAAATATTATGAAAAAAAACTGAAGTTCAGTTAGAGGTAAAAGCTTGGATAAAAATGTTTTGTTGTCAGCTCTTAACTCTGCAGACTTAAACTTTGGTTCAGCAAAGTCAGCTCAAAACTTATTTTCAACACAAACCTGTCCTTTACCACCTCACCTTATCTTCTTAGTCATGGCAAAATTCCTACAGTGCAGAAATATCTCAAAATTGAGATGACATCTTACCAATAAAAAAGTTAAAACATTTACCAGTGATTAGATTACTACATTTCCTACAGTAGCCATTCACAATTCTACCGAAAAAAAATGCAAAATATTATGCTATCAGCTCTACTTGATCATCTCAGGCTTTGTGTTAACTTCAACATGGACTTCAGTATTTTCCTCTCTGATAAGCTCCACACTTATCAAAAAAAGGCTGATTAACATCAAAAACACACTCTAAGAATCTGCTGTGGATAGGTAGTTTCTTCAGCTACGGGGCAATTAATTTTGGAACTAAAGTCAATGAAATAAAGGGATTCCTCCCAGTTTCACTATTTAAATTCCCTAATGGTTTTGAAAGATTGCTGGTTTGAATCCCTGACCAGCAAAGTACCACTGAGGTACCATAAGCAATGTACCACCCGCAAGCACTGCTCCCTAAGCACTGAATTAGCTGCCCCCTGCTATGTCACATATGGATTAAAGGCAGAGGACACATTTCTTTTTTGTGGGCTGTTGTGTGTCAACAATGACAACTAATCACTTTCACTATTTCACCTAGATTTAGTGTAGCTTACCACAAATAATTGTGTTTCTGCCACTGTATGTGCTGTTGTATATGTCTATATGTCAGTATTTCTCAATCCGGTCCTCTGTAGACAGTCTATGTTTTTGCTCCTGGAAGCTGGGAGGGAGCAAAACTGCGGGCTGTCTTTGGGTCCCCGAGGACCGGATCGGGAAGCACTGCTATGCATGTGTGTCATATCTCTCGATCAGTTATGAATCGTATGTTTCTTTTCTTTTTCCTCATGCCTGAGTGTCTCTGCCTTGGGTAGTATGTAAAATTAGCTCACGTTGCAAGGTTCAATACTCAGGAGCCTCAATAATATTTCGACAATATATAGGAGGAGTTTATATACCTCCAGTGAGTGGATTAGAGACTCAGAATGATATTTTTCTAATAATAATAATAATAATAATAATAATAATATTGTCTTGCATTATCTAAGCGTTATTCATTTTTGAAGGATCACCTGTCATCCTTCACATGTCTGCCAATAACACAGAACAGTGTCTTCTTGCTTAAATTAGCTTTATTTTAACATATGCATGTACCCCTTCCAATAATAGGGTACAACAAGATGTCAACATTACTGCTATTGGAGTATTGCAGTGCAGATTAGACATGTTTTTGTCAATATATATTAGCAATAATATGTACAAACATGCATGAAGCTTTTAGTGCAGTGCACATATAGATCAATCACAATATTGGGTGATGACTCTAAAGTGCTTGTAAACAACTATTTTTTAGTTCAGGTTCCAGATCTGTGAGTCCCAAGGGAGACTGAAAAAAAAAATCAATACACTCAGGGCCAGATAAAGAAATATGGTTTAGCAGCTACCAAATATTTCAAATCTACTATTTTCTAGCCTTCTATAATCCATTTTTCCTTCACTCGTTCAACACACACTGTTCAGCTTTGTTTTTTCCCTTGGTTCCTTCAAATCTTCTGAAAGCTCAGAATCAGGAATTATACAGTAATGGGCACTATTCTGAAGGAGGATTTAACCCAATATTTAAAATGAAGCAATTTCCATATGCACTATGCTACCTGGAGAAGATCACCTTTCCACAAAAATTAATTTGAGTTGTTCAAATGAGCCTATTAACTGACAACCTCGGAGTACAAAATTAATTAAAATCGGAGATTTCCAGAGGCACATGTTTCCATTGCTGCTGCTGGTACCCTAAGTTATAAAAAGAAAACCATTTAAGATTTATGATAAAAAATCGAAGGGCTATACTAAAAAGGTTCTCCAGCTTGATCAAAGTTTGCTCTACTTTTTCCAGAGCAGTACAACTTGTTGATATTTCAGAACATAAAACAGCTTTTTCCTATAACATTCTCCTGCATGGAGACGACCTTAACGTCACCTTTCAGATCAACAGAAAAACAATGCAGAATTTGTGAACTCAAACATTTTCACCAAATGTAATAAAATATAACTAAAACACTCTCTCTAACCCCAGATTTTAAGTCTAGACTGCACTGTAGAAAAAAAATGCTTTATGAAATTGATTAAAAAATAATCACTGTTAAGAACTGCGTCTCTCCTCTGCACATGGGCAGGAACATTGTCACGAGCTGAAACGATTAGATATAGTTACTGGGGTCATCTCTAGCAGACAGCTTTATTCAAATCGACAATCGCAATTTGCTATTTTATATTTCATCTCTTTATAAATTCATGTTCCTATAGGATGGAATTGGGTCAAGTATTCTCACACTTTGCTCAAGGATATATTACTAAGGTTTCTGTCTGGAAGCGAGACCTTCAAGCTGATTATATGATCAGGTCAATAACTAGAAGGCCACCTGCTAGGCGACTGCATGACCAAGCAAATTAAAGCAAATGCTGATGTACAATGTGCGCAGTAATCACAAATATATGCTGTTAGGATAAATTCTACATAAAAAATATGGTGGATTATTTTTGTTAGACAAAGCTCTTTAATAATGCAGCACAATGAGTAGTTTTGAACAACCTAAATCCCCGTCTACAAGCAACAGATTCATTCGTTGTTGGTGTCATGTACTGTCATTTGTATCCCTTAGGCTAATGTAAGATATAGTTGAAGTTGGAGATAACCAGTGTCATAATATGACATTGTCTCTATTGAACTAAAAGAAATATGTCATAGAAAAGTGAAAGACTGGTATTAGTACCTGGATAAGCAGACCAAAATAACGGGGGTTGAGAGGAGACCTTGGATGATTCCTGCTAAGTGAGTATTGTGTCAGTCAACTCCTGTCATAAATCCACCACGCTGAAATGATAGGAATCATGAATATGTCACATAAAAAGGAAATGTGATTCATTTGCGATTAGTAAATCTATTTAAAGACATTATTTTACATAAGAAATTAACTTTTTGGTGAGGCACAAATAATGTAGTACACTCTTACTCAATGCATTAATTAACCAGAAACTAAGTGTTAGTTACATACTGATCCCACATTCAATCATCATTAATAAATCATGACAGTTCATGTATTGCATGCAGTTACTATACCTGTTCATGATTTGTACTTGAGTAGTAACTGAGTAACTAAGCTACTTATGCCCCCTCAAGTAAAGTGTCACCCACTTTAGAAACTATACACATCTCTTTAACAAACAATATAGTATACTCTGAAAATTTTGTTATACAATGAAACACAGAAAGATAGAATGGTTAGGGCACTATACTTGTATTTAGATGTTAGCTGATTTAAGTCTGAGGAGAAGCCCTACCATTGTACAAATGCTCGAGGTTACATTTTTCTCAGAACACAGAATTGTAACCTGGAGGCTGCTGCAAAGCTTATGAACTGCCAAGTGAGACATCGCAAGGAATTACTCTATTCAAATAAATAAATATGAAATAAATATTGGTTATATGTATAAAATTGGATAATTGATCTACAGTAAGTTGCCTGTTGTATATGATTGTATGTGCCCTTCAATGGACTGAAATGCCCATAATAATAATAATAATAATAATTATTATTATTATTATTATAAGAAGAATAAGAAAGTTTTGCTCCTTGACAATGTTCTGGAAAATGTCTGAAATATGGGTAAATTGTTATTGTTGCTGTTATTGTTAATATTACCAGAATTCTTTGCCACTAACTAAGTTTCAAACCACATTTCACGCCTAGCATTTGCCATGGGCATACTGGACATCTATAGACATATGTATTTGAAAGCTTTTTTTTCAATGTGACAAAGAAAACAAATATTTCAACTACAGACAGCTGTTTACATGACCATGTATCAAAACCCTAGTATTCACAAATCTGTGATTTCAGGCATCGGACAATCACTTGCGCAAGCAAATACTACACAAGGCGTTTATGCATTGACACCTCATTTCAAGTGAGTTTAAAATGTTCCGTGGGAAAATGACCCTTCAGCTTCAGCACTGACATTGTGTACGCACGACTTGATCCATCAGCTAAACGTTGTGTGAGGACGCAGTTTGAAGCCTGACATTTGCGGCGTCATCCCCGACACCGACCCGGCGATTCACCCGCTGAGTCCGCCAACTGTAGACGGCATCAGTGTCATGCCCATAATTTCTGCATCTTTAGCACTCGTGTTTTTTGGGTGGCGTTGCTATGCAGAAGTAGGTTTTGGGACAGGACGAACGATCTCACTCGACTCATCCTTAAAGCATTGCTTCAACCTTACACACAAAACACAAGCACACTTTCTGCAACAGTCCCACGGATCCCTGATAGGCATCTGGATATGCTGCAGATTTCCATGGCGCTCCTGTTGCAGGGCTGAAAAGAAATCCTGACTTCAGGGGTTCATTATCTAAATGCTTCTCCGTGACGGTGTACCGCAACAAACACACTGGGGTGTCGATGAGAAACCACACGACGACTTTCGGTCTTCACAATCCTTCCTTAAACACTCAGCTGCTAGACAGATCTGGTCCAAATCACTTTGCCCCAGGGACTCACAGCAGCACTGTCAGGTGTCACTGACACCTACAATTACAGGCCATGCAAACCAAACATCTTAAGCGGCATTTAACGAGAAGCGGGTGGGCTAGATGTCCATGGGAACTATCCTGGGATTCGTCTAATATTGGTTAGATAAAAGTTTTGCTTAGATACATGGAAAACACCTTTAGGCTATACAGCCAATGATTATATATATATATATATATGACGCTTCATATAACAACCACACTCAAACAATAGCAAGCTTCATTGAGTTATTGCAAAAACCATCATAATAATCACGTTCACAATACGTATTATTTTCGTATTATTAATTATTTACGTTTTATTTACGTGTCATTTAGGCTTAATGTACATGGCTTTCATTCAGATGCTGTTTAAACTAGACAGAATGGAAAGCGACGAGAAACCTTGATTGTTTCTGCAGCGCTTCTAGGCTGCTTTTTAATACGAGGGTACGTGTTACACTCGGCCAAACTAAGATTTATCAGAAGAGAACACTTACGTGCCAGATTGCGAAGAAGATGAGAGAAGCACAGAGGACCAAGGAGAGCATATAGCAGAAGGCAGCGAAAGTAAACATGATGGAAATTACGCGTAAAAAAAACCTATAGAGGATTCAGAGGGAACCCGTTAAAAAAAGCAAAATTTAAAAATGGGAGTGGAACAGCTACACAATTAAAGTCATTATTCCATAAATATTATTTAATATCCTGCTACTGACTGCATCCATGAAGAAATATGCAAGTTTCACTCAAAATGTGCTACTGTCTGAGAATGAAAAAAACTCTCCGATTCAGCCTTGACATGATTTTATTCTAAACGTATACCACTTTTAGGAAAAGACTAGCACACTTAAACGCACTGTCCCTAGTCGCATCCCGAAATAGATGCCATCCAGGGAAAGACCGTCAAAACATTCCGGAGATCTCGGATTCCTCGGACAATCACCGGTAATCCATCCTGTGTTTTGCTGCCAGAAACCGTAGCCTATATTACATTTACAGGAGCGCCGTAACTCTTCCCTAGACAACATAACAACTAATGAACGCTACGCTCAAACCGCGGTTAACCCATAGCCCGTCACACATAATACGCCAACAGTATTTCCCAACAGGTGGACTTAAAGGGCTAGTGACGTCTCCATGTCATATCTGACCTACAATAAACCTAGCTTAAGAACTGTGCTCTACCTTTCACTGCAGACACTCAAAACAGCATATTTTTTATGTAATCTATGCAACACGGAACGACCGTCAATATTTTAATGGATTCAAATTAAAACATCATATGAAAATGTGCTTAAAGCCAGGTCACAGAGTTTTCTACAAATGTTTTGTCTACATTTTCATTATTCCTAATAAATGAGGTAAGTTAGTAAAATAGCATATATGATCCCTTCAGATCTACTGTACATGCAACCACCTGCCTCACAACCACTTAGTACCACACAGGGGTGCGAGAAACCTGCAGTCTATTTCTGGAAGCACAGATCCCAAGACAGGGAAACCCCCTGGACAGGAAGCCAGTCCATTGCCAGAAACCCACCCACGCATTATGGGCAATACAAACATGTTAATGCACTTACCTGCGTGTATTCGGTCTGTGTGAACAAACCCACACAAATTATGCAAACTCAACACTCTATAGACCTGGGGCTGGCACTCCATTCTACAAACACAGAAGTGCGAATCCCACATGTATGCATGTTTACTAAAGATAAAAATTATAGCCTCATAATATAATCATTTATGTCATATTTTCCTTGTCTGCCATCCTATCCAGGTTGTTCCCTGATTTGTTCCCTGATTTGTTCCCAGTGTGCATGAGATACGCTCCAGGCCAATTTCCTCGCAACCCAGAACTAACAGAGGTGGAGAGTTCAGGTCCAGAGAGTAAAAATCCAGACCAAGATTTTATTTCAACCTGCCAGTTGAGCATAAAGAGTCATAGTCACAGAATAGTCAAGTGGTTGGTTGAAACAAAATCTTGGTCTGGATTTTTACTTTCTGGACCTGAACTCTCCACCTCTGAGTACTGGAAATGTGACTGGAAGATAAACAGACGGATGTTTTCTTAGTGGAATTCCTGTAGTAAACAATTGACAATTTCACTTGCTTTAAAACTAGCATGAACTGGTGTTTACTAGTTACCAGTACCTCTACCAGCAAGCCAGTAGCATCACATAGCCATGGAGTCATCACGCTTCATGTGTTGTTACCATAGTAATAGACCAGTTTGGAGGTTCAGGCACTTATACTGGGGGGGAAAAATCTATTGAAAATTCTATTGGAGTAGATGTCTTGGTTACTTCTGTTAGAACATTACATATTTTATCCATAAAAAGGAATCTGTTATCTAACATAGGTAGATTATTTAATGTTATTGCAGTACCTGACATTTCCACAGAAATTTCAGGATGGGTCACTGTTACATATTTAAAGTTCCTATTGTATCGAAATTAAAACGCTCAAAATGACAGATCTGGAAAAAAAAGACACTTTCATTCAGGTGTTTCCAACACTCAGCTGACCAGCTGAATGTTTTCTTCTGAACAAATTTGTGACGGTTAAAGATGTAACCGGAAAAAAGACTGTAATTCCTGGGAAAGTCAGAGAGAAAAGGGGAGCAGCGAACCTCCAACAAGACGGACTCAGCGGTCACAACAATGAATATTGATGAGAAACCTGAAAGGCAAAATCCAAGTTATACAGCCATTTATATGGTCACTAGGAGTCAACATCGAACATGGCCCCTACGATTAAACAGTGCAAAACTTGAATTGAACCAAAAGTTCCTGGGTAAAAAGCCGCAGACTTACTTTTACCCTACACTACAATATGCCAGGACGTCATCTTGTACTACCCCTATACGTACACAGTGGCTGTAAATTTAAAATATATTTTAGCGCCATCTTGTGTTTCCTAAACGTTAGGTCACATTGTTAACCCTGTTCATACATAACAGCCTGCAATTCACCTGCTTGCACCAGAGGACGCTAAAGCGCCCCGGTTTTACTAATGGAATTCTGAAATCTTCACGCCCGCTTTGAAGAAATTAATTAGTTCATTTATGCCAGTAATTAATAGAGGCGAGAAGCAATTTGAGGAAAACTATCATTACTGCGTTTGTTGTTTTTAATTTTAATTCCTTGCTTTCCAATCAATCAGGATGCACGGTTGTCAAGGAGACAAGGACGCCGTGATCTTTTTAAGCTCGGCGTCGGGCCCTGCAAGTATATTAAACTAAGCAACCGTTTGTTGTTGGCTTCCTGTCTGCTTTATTCAGACACATTTAATCATAAAGGGCTTCTTAGTACATCGATTAAAACTGGGATAGAATTTCTTAATGACATTCTTCAATTCTTAAATGTTTTCTTAAACTGAACTTTGGCGGGATTGCAGTTTTGTATTAAATGATCGCGAGTAATGAAGATGCAATAATCAGAAAAGGAGATAATTTCCGGAAACCCAAGGAAACTGCAGTCAGTGGTGAGAAATGCTACAGGACAGGTAAACACCTAAAATATTGACGCAATAAAGCTGCATTCCGCGAAGCGCATGCTGTGCCGTTTGAAAAGCTTTTAAACTTAATAGCCTCTCATGAAATCACTCATAAACATACCGTAGCTTGAAAGCCTTTTGATGAGCACGGACGAAGGTTACACGACTCGCCCACAAGCACTTAATCTAGGTAATCTATACTAGCAGATCATCGAAGGCACTTTGCATCTATTTCCAGAAATACTATCTGGGGGTCGGACGAGCCCAGCAGAGGCTACCGCAGACGCCACTTCACTGAAACCCGCGGCCGGGAGGCAGTTTACAAGCCGCACATACGGCACATGCAGCCAAACTACACCGAGTATGTTTCCCCCCCCCCCCCATTCAACATTAAAACCACTCTGGTTGTTCTGATAAACTTGAAATGTAATAGTTTTGCTCCTTTAGGAAAACCCAGCGAAGAACAGGATCTCATTTATAAATAATTAGGCCTTGTTTGTACTCTGCCATGTTTTACGTATATAGGCCTCTATCATCAGACAGCTCTTTTCCTTCGATATTTGAGTTTGTAAAGTAGTGAGGAAATATAGTTTCGTAAACGAAAATACGCAAAAGAACGACATTAATGCAGTGTCCTATTAAAGCTATTTAACAGTTATTTAACCTAACATGGTATAATAGGCCTATATATATTTTTTTTTTTATGGTTTTTTTTTTATGGTACGGTGCGATATGACGGGTGTTTGTGTGCGTAGATCAATCGCTGAGAGGCAAATTCTTTCTCTTTGCTCATTTGGGTTTAGTAATGCCACGGGTCATTTTTAAAACTTAGTTGAGTCTATTGTATGATTTTGTCAAACTATATAGTTATGGGATCGGCCCGTCTGATTTTCCGCTGGCCCACTTACGCAATTATTTCTGATTACGTTATTGTCCTCCACCCATTTAACGGGGTCCAGGGGGTTGTATTGGCTGGTTTTGATTATGGGGGGCTACAACCCCCCTCCATCCCCCGTAATTTACGTCCATGCATGCAACACCTGCTGTTATAAGTGACATTGGGACCGCGTGCAACGTTAATATACATGCTTAGTGGGGAAAAAACCACTCGCTCCTGGGTTTGTGCTGCTGTAAGCTATAGACACGTTAAGAGATATTCCTCGTTTACAGGGGTAGTTTATCTGGGGGCTCTGGGTTCCAGCGTAAGGCTTTGCTTGCAGGAATCGTGAATATAAAGAGATTATATACTGTACCCAGTTTTTTGCAGGCGGTGTTCGCTTGCACAGAAACGGAGGTGCGCTGCAGCTGTTCTGTCACGATATTGTGATGGCGCTATTCCTCAAACAGGAGCCAGTCCCCCCCGATTTTTTTTTTGCTGTTGGACTCTGACCTCCACAAATGAATGAGCTAATCTGTTTGTATTTGTTGTACTGCATGGAGGGCCGATTGGCGCATCATCCGTCTGACTTGCAGATGCGACCTTGACTGGAAGTCCCGTCTCCGCCGGCTGCCGCAGCCCCGCTACGGCGACGCTCCGTTTCCCCACATCAAAGCCATTAAATTCCCCGAAGAGATCAGGCTGCTGAGGTCTTTTCCTAGTGAGTGCATTGACAGTGTGACATGGCCAACATGATATAATCTCCATATGAAAAACTGTACTACAGAAACCTTACAGTAAGGGGTCACTGCAGTGAAGGCAATGCGATCGCGCTTCTCCTTTCTGAGGTTTGTTATTTTATGGAAATTAAAAACTATTTTATTATAAACTATATTATTTTAATCGATCGGTGCGTCCGATATAGCAAATCATCTTCCCCAACATATTTTAATTTTTTAATATTAATTTACCCGCGATCAGTGAAATACATGTATTTTAATTTGCGCTCGTAGACGCCAATATGGTCTCCGGTTCCGAATGGACTTTCTACCCCAACCTCGGCCACGCCGCCGCCTTCCATGTGGGTAAGCGCTGCCTGTTTGATGGGACGCAGCACCGCAGAAGCATGAGGAGCAGCTCCCACACCAGCCTGGAGTCGGTGTTAGGCCAGAAGAAGCGGGGTGAGCGAGAGTCACTATGACCCTCAATATCATTACAGTAGCTGTAACTGACATTCACGTTTAGATTTTGCGGTCAGTTTTAATGGCGTCTGCATACTTTTTCCTAGAAGACACTTTGCATATTTCTACAAGGTTTTTAACGACTCTAAATTCTGCCTCCTCACCTGAGATTTAAATGTAAAGCCCCATAGCCTAACCCACCGGAACAGATTGACCGGCCGCTTCTTCCCCTCTGCAATAAGACCGTTTACTGAAGACATGCAGAGCAGCATATCGCAGACGAATAGCACACTCAGCCACATAAATTACTGTGAAATAATCTCTGGGATTTGCGTTTGTTATTCCTATTGCATATAGGTATGTCTACTGTACGTATACATAGCCTATGTCCAGCAATTGTTTTTCATGTGTGCGTTGTGTCCTGTGTGTATAGTGTTGTCATCATTTTTGTTCACTGGATTCCTCCTCAAGTCAGGTCCAGCAGGCACCCAGATGAAGCTGCAAAGCCATATCTGAACCCCGAATACACTACCGACTTCCACAAATACGGTACTACGCTCCCAGCTATAGGTTTCGGGTAAGTTGTTCCCTTTAATGACTTGGCTTTATTGCCACAGGAAGAAAAATGCTTCTAATTACCACCGAGTCACAGGTAGATCAATGTTTTAATTTAGATTTTAATTTTGAAATCACAAGTAGTTTATAGTGAAAATATATAAAGTTAAAATAAATGACTTGGATATTTGGGAAATAAAAAAAAAACATCTTGCCAATGAAAATAGTGCTCAGAGAATCAACCGCGAGATGGCGATATTGTTTTATTTGTGTGGATGTCAGAAGATTTAGAGGTTCTATATAGTTTAATTTTCGGTTCATAAAATTATAATAGCTTTGACAAAGTTCTTGAGATCCACATCAGCTGGATCTTAAGATGGAGAATATTAAAAAAATTGTCTTATTTCTGTTTCCAATACATACACCGAACACATGAAACCAGTTGTGGTTGATGCACATTTTATCTGCGCTGAAGAAAACAAACCGACTCATATGTACATCACGAGTTGCCGAAACTGAAGTTTGAGTTACATTGGGCTCTATTAAAGGAGTGACACAGCACCCTGCACAGGGAGTGTCTCTAACCTTCAGCAGAAGTGTCAATTAGCTTGCTGTGCTTCTGATGGTATTTGCACATGCAAAACGGCTACGTTAATTTCACAGTGGCAACATCCTCCCTGCTGACGATAATCGGCATAAAATAAGTAAAATATCAGCATAAGTATCAGAAAGCGTGTCCCGTAAATTCCATTTATCGTGATTTCAGATATGAGCTACGCTCAGTTAGTGTATATGAGTTGCATCTGAATTACATCCCTTAGAATGACTTATGTATATTTCTGTAGTAATTTTTTTTTTTGTTAGGTTACTCAGAGATTTCGGGAGACCTAAGGGCCGTGTGTCCGCATGAACCTCCTAAAGCCTTCAGCTAGTTCTGTGTGAACCTGAAGGCAGCGTGAGCAGATGCTGTGGGAGATGTGGAGGTTCCCCTAATGACACAGAAGAACTGAACGCATGCCTGACAATAGTGGCTCGTTAAATTCATTTATAAACCAATATAAAAGGTTCATAGTCCCTGAGGTACAGAGATGTTACCAACACTGATGTTATTCTTATAGCGTATTTTACGTGACTTCAGGTCCTCCGCTACCCTGAAGGCCGACACCTTCGTTGCTCTGTCTCCTCCACTGGCCCCAGCATGGTTAGTAATGGGTCCCAACATCCCATGCTGTACATCCTCCATGAAGGACGCAGAAGGTTATCTTTTAAACAAACGCAACAGTATTTAAATAGCCACCTCTTCAGTTGCTACGGGTATAGTGTTCATCAGTAACAGATATATTTTGTAGACATATATAATATTACACACACACATTTTGTATTTATATGTTTGTGGGGACCATCCATTCATTTCTATGGGAAAAACCCTAATCCCACCAATGACAACCCTAACCCCTACCCAGCTCTAACCTTAACCATAAGTAGCTAAACGAAATACAAGACTTTTTTGGCATTGTTTTGTTTTTGGATTGTAGTCACAGACTTTTTATAAAATTGAGTTTCCCCTTGTGGAGACCGTAAAGGTGGTCCCCACGACATCAAAATAACAGGTTTTTATCACATAGTGAGAAGGTCCCCACTATGTATTATATGCATAACCCCCGACACCAACATGTATATCTGTCTATAGACCTATACCACATACATACACGTATATACACACACATATATACACATACATAGAGTATATTATATTAATTGTTTTTGAAGTCATATACTCCTTTTAATGTAGCGGAAAAGTAAAGTAGAAGTGATCTGTCTGATTGGCTGTTCTTTCATCCCACCTTGTCAGTATGTGTTATGGGGAGAAGGAGAAGATTAAACAGCGAGAGGCGCATATCCTGGAAGTGAAGCAACTAAGCGAATGGAATCCAGCAGCATCCGTCTTTGACTTGTGATAAAACGTAGCAACTCTGGCATGGCAAGAGGACTCTATGGCAGGCAGACAAAGGCACAGCGTGTGTGTGATTTTAGGACATAGCAAACGTATAAAAATAAATGTTTATATGTGTGTGATCCTTATGTGAAAATTTCGAGTTGAATGATTGACATCTTACTATCCAAGAGATGATGTGGGTGGTAAGTCTGTAAAAGGGAAAGAATTGCGTGTTTTACAGAAACTAGCATAGTGCTTTTCATAAATGAGACTTACTTTATATGACAGCGAAGTGAAAAAACACCGTTAGCCAGTGAACCACCATGCTGCTCTGCAGGCTGAACAGCAACCCAAAATTTGCCTTAATTGATCATAACAAGCATAAATAGCAAAATGAATGTGTGATGTTTTCATGTGTCTTCTAACTGCTTACCCAGTTCTGGCACTTGGGGGGCCCGGGACCCCTCCCAGCAAGGCAGAGGAACACCTTAAATGGTATGCCAGTCCATTGCAGGGCACATGCACACATTATGGGCAATTTTAGAGACACCATTTCAGTAAACGGCATGTCTTCAGATTTTGGGAAAATATCGAGAGGAAACAGGAGGAGAGCCTGCACTCCTGGGCAAAAAATGAGCCAAATACAAATTGCACAACAATAAGCTATGGCCCATTTTTTTGCCCAGAAGTGTACAGACTCCACACCCATGTGCAGCATTTTAGCCCCCAAGGTATGGGACAACCAAATAAAATGGAAGAAATCATCATTGCTAGAGGCTATTATTTTGGGAATGCTTACGAAATTCTTTTTCTTTTTGGGGGTGTGCAGAAACATGAAGGAAAGAAGCGATTGATTGTCATGACATTCAATACCAGGTGTTTGCAACATCCAGTAAACCGCAGCCCCTTAAATCTCCCAAGGTTCCTTTGCCAGTGTATTTCTGCGAATGGTCTCCAGTCCCTCAGGGCCCCGAAATGTGCATGATGAGTCCTTGTGGGGGAATGCTTTTAGTGACGCAATAATCACGTAATGATCTCAAAAGAGGATATCGTCCATGATCTGGTGGGGTTGCCCGGTGTAGCTTTTTCTAAATTGCTGCATTCAGCAGCGTAAAACTAGAGCAAAACATTAACAAAAATAGTACGTTAAAGTTAAGGGCATCTCTGAAACAATAACATCAGCATTAGCATTGTTATTCATCTTGTGAGTCAAATTCAAAGAGTCTGGCCCTGGTTGTAAAGTGAGGGAATTAGCCTGGTAGTCTCGTTTTCAGGCGTGGTCATGGAAACAGAATGACGACTGACGAATCTCCGGGCAACCATCGACTTGCTGATACTCGCGCGCACACGCACACATGCAGATAGACTCAGCCCTGCTGTTCCACAAGGACACACATTTAACTCAAGTTTGTTTCTGCTAGAAGACAACATATCTGTTAGGAGCAGACCATGCTTCCAGACTGGAATCTCTCAAGACATTGTAATTGCATAACTTGTCATGTTTGATGAGACAAATGCAAGGAAAGGATAGTATTTTGTTTTTTGTCCATTTGAATGATGTTTGAAAGTCACAGACAGGACTAAAAAAGCAATACATTTTAAATAACCATGCTATTCATACATTTGTTCTCTTCATTTTGGTTCAATCTTAGTGACTCTTTGGGTAAACTTCGGTTACTTCTCTGAGAGGGCAGCTTGTGATGCGATGGTCCTGTTTGCCGAAGGACCAGACCAAACATTCTGCCTTCCATGACACACAGCTTGTAATCGGGGGGTCAAATCTTCCATTAAACAGAGCAAATCACACAACAGAAATGCCATTAAATCACAAATATTGCAAAGGGGAGATAACTTCCTGATGGACAGAAGCATCCTTTTTTCACTTTCCATCACAGGTGGACATCCGATACAAAATGCTAAATCGACAGGCTGTAAAAAAGGCTCCCGTGCTGGAGGGGCAATCGCTGGGCTCCCATGCTGGAGGGGCAATCACTGGGCTCCCATCATTTTTGCTGGAGTATTCTGAATCTGCAGCCGTATCGATCGACACATTAGGCCACATCGATCCCAGGCTGTTGGACAAGGCCTGGCCTGACGCAGCGGACCGAGGGCATTTCTTTCTGACAGCGCTGTCAATTAAAGCCCCCGCCGTTAGTGACTGGCAGCTATGGAAACCCCCCGCTCCATAAAGACGGTGAGAAATGGACCTGTGAGCTAGGCTTTATTCAGCGACCGTGACGGAAACAGCCATGGCTGACACTGTCTGCCAACTACTGCCCAGATTCAGATTCATTTAGAGCCTTTTCTATCTGGAACACATTTGTAACTGAAAACAGGGCAGCCTAGCAGTTAACCGTAGGGGCTCACAAGTTAAGCAGACATCACAGTGTGATTCTGTTCTGTGGTCTGCAGAAACCTTTCATCATTTCCATCATGCAGCTGTAAGAGGTCACTCACAAGTTCATGTATGAACTTTCATTTGTGTCCTGGATGGGACACAAAACTATGGACTGGTTTTGTAACAGATGCTAAATTGAAGCAAAGTGTATGTCTGAATAGAATCAAGTGCCTGGGGAATGGAAGGGAATAATTTTGGGGGGTGTTTTGGGGGTTTACAGATTTGGGGGGGTGGGGTGGGAATGAACAATGGACATCTCATAAAATTCGATAGACTTTGGATCAATAAATATGTATAGGATTGGTCGTCTAAGAATGGTAGAGAGGAGGCTGTTTATTCTCTTAGAAATTGGCTTTGACCAGTTTTTGAATGACCTATCTTTTCCCCACCCTGGGAAATCCATGACCTCCCCAGGTCCTACATCAGCCTACAAAGCCAACTGCATGTATGAAGAGCAAGAGCTCCTGGACTATCGGAGCATCAGGCAGTGCACTGTGTAAAGCAGGGGTCTCCAACTCTGGTCCTGCAGAGCTACCGTCCAGTAGGTTTTCTATCTCACCTGGCATCTGATGAGCCACATCTGTTCACAGGTGAACGCCAAGAACAGGTGTGGCTCATCAGAAGCCAGGTAGAATAGAAAACCTATTGGACATTAGTTCTCCAGGACCGGAGTTGGAGACCCCTGATGTGAAGCCACAGAACCGCTGGCTGGAGGTCTCTGGTGTTGACCATGTATCTGCATGGCTGTTCTTGATTTTTGGTGTTTCTAAGGCACTTTATTGCACATGCTGGTACACTATGGTACAATAATATAGCAGAGAAATATGTAAAGTCATGTACTCATCATAGAGTAACACAGGACTTACAGACCTTACCGACTGAGTGCTTTTGTTAGTGCTACTCATCTGTCGCTTAGTGCACTTAGTATTTTCATGGCCCTTTAAGCTGCCCTGGAGAAAAATGTTTGCTAAAAGTAGATAAATGTAAATGTAAGTTTTGTGGGTGGGAGCCTCTGTCCAAAGAATTCCGGAACTGCTCTGGTGAAATATCTAGCTGTACACAGGGCTGGGGGTGGAGATTGAAAGTCACTTTAGATAAGAACATTGGCTAAGAGTCTAAGTGCACTAAAATGTGGAAGGAAAGATCAGATTCTGATAGGGGGGAGCTGCTGTCCCACTTTTCCGGAAGATTTACGACGACTTGCTACTCCAGCAAATTTAAGCAGGTGAAAGCAAAGCTTCTAACTGGTAATGAAATAATTTAACGTAATCCAGTACACGGAACTCCATGATGCATAGCGATAGGAAACCAACGCTGATAAAACCATTAGCAGGAACTAATTTCAGACTACAAACAAAATACAGAAGGGTGATGCAGTTACTACATTATAAATTGTGATTTAAGAATTCATTTTATGTTATGCATTAGAGGTTACTGGAAATTACATTCCAGTTGGGGTAGTATTTTTATTATCCACTAGAGGGCAGTATGTTTCTTTTTTTTTTTGCCGTGTATGCTAGCATAGGCTGAGGAACATTTGCCTCTGGACCGGGATGGTTAACCTCCTGAAAAATACATGTGCAACTATACCCTTCATGTTAAACTTTGCCTTCTGAAATGCGGCTGGACTTAGAATTACCCCCGAGGGTCATTCTGCATCTCATTTGGGATCTGTGACCCCGAGAACCAAGCCCCCGCAACGTCAGAATCGTGAAAGCGATGAGGGGCAGAGTCAATAGTGAGCACTGCCCAGCCACCGTAGCCCACTAACTGCAGGATCAGCGGTTCCATATCTTACTGCCTCTCTGGGCGCCTGTGACATGTTTGGCCCTCATGTCATTTCACTAAGAGTTTTTACCAGCCGTTCAATCGCGAGGCTCTCGGCCTTTTAATTTAACTTCAGCAGGCATTGGAGTCAGCATCTATTAAATCAGTATGGCAGACTAACTGAGGAGGTAGAGGCTTGCCAAGCCAAATACCGCCGCGGTATAACAATGCCTGCAGTTCACTTTGACGTTAAATGTGCTTAAAATCAATATAGTGTGTAAGAAGCATAACAAAGAAGCCCAAGCCTCTTTGGACAGAGCATTGATATTGTAAATGCTTCTAACTAGCAGAGGGTAGACAATATAACACAAACATCACCTGAAAGGGACTTTAACTTTGATGTAAATAATAATAGTTGCAAACTCAGCTGCAAAGCTAGGTTAGATTAGCCTGCATACTAATTAGCAGCATGTCCATGCTATGAATGGGGTCTGATCAGTACCTTGAAATTTCAGTTTTCAAAGTTCCAATGAGGCTGAAGACTCAGTACCCAAACTGGAATTTATGACACGGCTGCCACTGGGAAACTGCTTGAATCTAAAACCAAGATACAAAGATCCATAACCTCATTTAAAGAGGACAAAACCTGGACCACTAAGCAATTGAAAGAAAGTAATGTGGTCTGATGAGTCGTCTTTTCTTATTCCTTTTCCCTGTTACTGGATGGGTTTATGTTTGGAGGAAACAAAGGATGCTTTCGGCAAGGTGTCTGTCAGTATGAGCAGCAATCTTGATGGATTTATTAGGCCCGATGATTACTCTGCACAGCCAAGGTATTTGAGGCCATTTTACGAGGCCAGGCACAGCCTATGGTGAAAAAAATGGTTCTTTCGTAATAATCCCAAATTCAAAGATGAAACACTCCCATGCTTAGCTCTGAAGAAACACCAGAGTGATTTCATGAAGACTATGATTAAGTCACACAGCTTCCGAGGCCTCCTTAATCATGAGACCTAAGTATCGTTGAACTTTTAGGGAAAGTTACGGACTGCGGAATGGTCAGACTTACACCTTCTTTGCCCCTAAATTAACTGGGGGCTATTCTTTTTGAAGAATGGTCAAATATTCCACTATATGCAACTCAGAACTCGTGTAACAGCATTCCTAGATTGACTGAAACCGTTGTAAAGGCAAAGGGCGATCTTGCTCATTATCAGGTCCTTGATATTAATATATTATTTGGTGCTTCTGATATTTTGCTCACCCCCCCCCCCCTCAAAATACTGACTTGCATGCTATCATATTTTCTGTCTGATATTCTATCTGTCATATTTTTTTAACCAACAAGGGTTTTGAGATCTTATCTGCAGCCACTTTAGAATTTGAATCAGGTTAATTCCATGACAAAGGATGCCTTCAAATTATTTATACCAACACATTTGTAAATTAATGATCTAATGTATGTCAACTGGCATTTGTTATGATTTTGCTCTGAATAAGATGCAGCTTGTTACTACAGCTGGATTAGTCCAATATGGCGCCGTTTCTGATTTAGCTACGAATCATTGGCCATTGGCTTGAGCGTCATTCACCTACAAGCTG